GAGAAGAGAGAGAGAGAGAGAGAGAGAGAGAGAGAGGAGGAGAGAGGAGGGAGAGATAGAGAGGGGAGACAGAGAGAGAGGGGGAGGAGGGAAAGGGAGTGGATTTAGCATCTGATTTGCATGATTAGAATTAATCATCATTTGCACTATCTAGATACCAAAAGGCCTGCCGATCCGTCTTTAATCCCTTCTTGAAGCTATTCTCCTTCAAAGGAAGCTAAGTCAGACTCTACACCACTCTACACCACTATAGCTAGTGGCATCACAAACTACCACTGTGACAATGTAAACAAACATGGCACCCTCACTTCCTGAATGGATTTGCAATGGAATTGAGGGTTCATTCACGTCAACTGTTCATTCATGTCAACTGACTTCCCAAGAACCATCTCCAGAGACACCGGATTTGATATAGAAGACCTTAAATCAACTATGGCGGACAGATCACTGTGGAGTACTGTAGTGCAGCAACTTACTTTTGTATCCTCCTGATGTTACATAATGCATGACCAAACATGTTAAACAGTTATATGTATGATGTTACTATACTTTTATTGCCATGTCTTCACAGTATGAATCAAATGTTTATAATTCGTTACATCAACTAGTCTGATCAAGACTGATGATGACGATGTTTGGTGTGTAAAACTGTAAAAAAACTGTAACATTTATACATTGTAGCTGTGGATTCATCACTCCAGCTATGTCTACATGTTGTAATCGACATCATACACTGAAGTCATCCCTCAGTAAGACATTTGGAGGCATTATTAGTTCCTGTTTGGAACTTTTATTCAGCCTGTAAAGAACTGTAACACTCATGGTCACAGCCATGGTGTTTTCTTCTATGTCACCAGTCTTACTTCCCATTCTCACAATAGTGTAAAATCAGAGCCAAAATACAGACTTCCACTACAAATGTACCATGATTTTGAATCCAATGATTCTTCACTTAGCATGATTTGAATCACAGCAACTTATAACTTATTAGCAATCAGAAAAGTTCATGTGCATTGGTAGTTACATGTACATGTTTAAAGGTAAAACTTTTGTACCAACACAAAAAGGTAAATGTTCTCATGTCTTCCTCAGTAGACTGTATTTACACTTCAGAGAGGCCACATGACAAGCCTTATTTGTAACTGGGTCAGTCTACTGAGAAAGACCAGAATGACTGGTCGAAAGGTCTAGGAGAGAACATTTACATGTAACCTTTGTCTTGGAACAAAAGTTTTACCTTTACACATTAGATTTGTTGTTACTAATATTAGCAATACTTTCATCACAATGCACAGAGTCATTAGTCAGTGATTTATACTGTACTCATAAATACATACATGTACATGGTCTATTGCAGGTACTGTGCTACATGTAGACTTTCCATATCCAGCTCTGCTGCCTAGAAAATCTGAGCCATGCAATTTAATAAATAGATTTGAGAATTTAACCCTTGTCCTGCAGGCATTTTAACACATTTTTGTTCAATTATTTGATTTTTTTAATCAGGTCCTTTTCTTCTGCACTGCTATGGCATATTACCTTACCTTACTATGGCATATTAGTCACTTCAAATTCTGCATTTGGTGCATTTCACTGCAGTATGACATGTTCACGTGAGAAATACCCCCCAACAACACATACACAGGACCACCATACAGCCACTGTATGTGAGACCTGTATTTATACAATAATCGTTTTGACACAAAAAAGTACAGCAACGTTTGTAAGGTCTACTACAGCTAGAGCTGTGTACCTAAACCCACGTTCAGGTCTAGGTCTGGATTCAAGTCCAGAGGTTTAGGTTCAGATCTGGACTTGTAAGTCAGCACCTAAAGCCTGGGCATATACAAAATACAGAGGGGACTTCTCAGTTAACATTTCCCAAAGGAAAATGTGGTATCTTTACCACAAAATTTTGTAGTGAGCACTGCACTACCAGGGTTAAGAAGATACATGCATGTTGTTTTCGGGGCACATCTGGGCAAAGCAGGCAACATAATTTAGGGACGCACTTGACGATGTCCAATAATGGCAATGTTTTCTTAATTTTTGACCATTGAAGATTTCAGCTGATTTAGAACAAAAATGGAGAATGTGACACAAGTTTTTATAAGTTCAGAACTAGTTCCAGACGTTCAGGTTTTTTTGGACTTGAACCTAACATTTTTAAAAGTCCGGAACTAGTTCCAGCGAACCGGTACGTATACACAGCACTAACTACAACCATACATAGTACATACAATGGATACAAATAAATTAAGTTACAAATGTACATACAAGTCTATGAACAAATCAACATCAACTTATACTACCAGTTTTAAAGTTTAAACATTCTTTGATATATTTACCTATTTGTACACAGTAAGGGTTGTGTAATTCTAAAATATAATTTGAATTTATCATTTCGATGCAGCAGGACAAGGGTCTTAATATATTACAATATCAATCTGGCATTCTTGTAAAATAATGTTGCTTGTCGCCGCCTTCTTGTGCTTGACTAGTTGGGTACCGGTGTCACTCCATGTCACAGCGATGTTAACCCTAGTCTTTCTTGTCATCCTTCTTTACTAACAAGTCACTGACTTTCTGGCGTATGTTGGGCACCTTGTAGTTCTGTTCCATGTATATGCCGAACGCCACTCCGGCCAGAGCTCCGAGCGTCAGGGCCGATACTCTGGACACCAGCGCGCCGACCACAACGCCTTTACCGAAGTCCGACATCGACATGTCCTGAAAACGATACATCAGAATGGGAAAAGGATAGGATAGGGTAGGAAAAGAACGTTGTGTTTCCTGTTTCAGTTCTGAAAAAAATTAGGCTTGGTAGGTAGGGATTACATGTATCTTTTTCTTCTTTTTTTTTTTTAGACTTTGGCAATGTCTAGTGATACAATACAGTTTAACAAAGTAAAACTTGCATGAGCACGCATCTATTTTCTATATCAATGTCGGAAAACCGATTTTACAACATTTCGTCACTCAGGTGTCAGATCAAGGAGCTAGAAAAGGTTGATCAGTTTCAAAAATCTACAACAATCTGCATGTCCCTTGCAAGTTGCAGGGATGCACAAAAATGGCTTGGTTTGGACTTTTTTTCTAGAATCGGTTGGGAATTACAGAAAACACAACATTTTTTGTTCTAGGCCAAAGCAAGTTTATAGAGAACTCAAGGCATGCCAAACTATCACAATAACAAAAGGGTATGTGCATTCATATAGAAGACAATTGCCAAACTTTGGATACACCCAAGTCAATATACTATAGTACTACTAGTAAGCCACACCCAAGGTAATTTTGTTGTACAAGCTAAGGGATTCAAAATTTTCATGCGACATGTGATGGCATTTCTGTAGTACTACAAGCAAAGGTACCGAAGTAACGGGTTCCTCACTGGCCGCCCAGTGCGGAACTCACGGGGAAAGTGGCGTCGACACTCGGGGCCCTGTTCGGAAGAAAGCTCCGCACTGGAATTCTAGCGCAGAAACGGCTTTGTTCCAGTGCTGATACACCGTCAGGACTGAAATTCCAGAGCTGAATCTTGACTCGGCACTCGTTTTCCGGTGCTAACTTCCACTCAGCACTCGTTTGCCAGAGCTCGGGGGGCGTTCAGCACTGGATAGCCAGCGCTCAGAGGCCGTTCACCACTGGATAGCCAGTGTTGAATTCCACTCGGCACTCGCTACCAGTGCTCGGAGGCCGTTCACCACTGGATAGCAAGTGCCGAAGTCCCTAAGTAACGGGTTCCTCACTGGATCGTTCCAGTGCTCGGTGACTCTTGGTGCTGGAAGCCGAGTTCTCAAATCATTTCGGCACTGGGCCTCTGGTGCTTACGTCGGCCGCGCGGCTTACAGTACAGTATCGTAGGCCAAGTCTATGTCTGTAAAAATGTGAGGATCTGAGCCTTGCAGTACTGCCGATCACCTTGTTGTCCCGATTGTAAATTTGCTTCCCGGGAGGGTATGATCTCGAAAATAATAGTGTTAGAGTTCAAAGGCGGCATCTCGGTACCCTTTCTAAAGACAAGGTTTGCTTTGCCGATTTATAGTTTCCAGTGCTGAAGCCGCCGACACTGGGCACCAAGTGTTGACGTAACTTCGGCACTGGACATCTAGGACGGAAGCCGCCTCACCTCTGTATACCGAGTGCTGAGAAAGGAACCCGTTACTTCGGTACTTTTGCGTACTACAAGGTCAAAGACACGTTCCTATACCTAACAGGATTACTTGAAAGAAGAATTTGTGTCTACTATGAAAACGAACTACACATGTATTATCAACAACCTGTATTAAACATAATATTTGCCATATAGCTACTAGGTAGTTGCCACTGTCACGTTACCTTGAATTTTTGACTGTACAATAAACTAACGCTATACATATACGTTCACACATATATTCATTTAGACTAAGAGGGTGGGGGCGTATAAAACAGACCACAGCAGGGGTAGGGCGGGGGTAGGGGGAAGGGTCACGGTTATGACATCCCCCCTTATAAAACACCCAACAGTCAAACCGCCCCCCCCCCACTACTACAAATTATGTATAAGCATCTAGCAGCATAATTTTTTCTTCAACTTCAAAGTAAACAACGTTCAAAGCAGTCCAGATGTTTAGGATATGTTTAGATGATTACAAGTACTGCAAATTCAACAAACCTTGAACAAGTCGGGTTTAAAAACGTCCATAATTAAGTCATCCAAGTCAGGGAAATCCGATTTTTTGTCGTCTCCCGCCATCTTGGGTCGATTGGCATAGTCCACTAGAGCAAATAGGGGTGAACAACTAAGGTAATGTTATATATAGACAAAAACATACGCGATTAAAGAAAACAGTGATTGAAAATTAACCAGCTGAGTCTATGTTGTTAATATTGCCCCTAAATACAAATAACGTGTTACCTCAATCCTGAAAAACAAGCAAACAAACAAACAAACTTGCCATTTGGCTATAACGTTAATTCATTTAGAGTTTTATTTTTTAATTACCAGTATCACCCCTCCCCTCCTACAAATTTATTTTCTTTTTGTTTAACTTGACAGTAGTTTTCAGTATTAGTTAAAAGAAAATGTTATTTCTTCAGATGTCATAGGTTGCGCTTCTCCTATTTTCCGCTAGGGGGCAGTGTGACATCGCTCCCATGAGCACTCTCGTCGCGTCACATGATTTTATGATGTGTTGGTTCCAATCCTGATGGCTGCGATCAAGACGTAGTTTTGGACAGCTTTATTGCGGTCCTAAGACTCCCCGGGCTACCTGGAGGCGTTGTTCTAGGAATAAGTATCACAAGGAGACCCTTCCCGACTTGGAGATATCGTCCAACCGCTCCAAAATAGCCGAGAAGTCGGGTAGGCGTTCTTTTTGACAGGAGTAAAATTTAACGTCATCGTCTGCAAAGAGGAGGGGTCAACCGGGCACAGTATCAACCGATCAACATTTGCAGATGTGAGACAAGAAAAAAACCGTGGTACTGTGCGTTAACTGTCTGCTGTAACCCACCGGGAAACAGGAATACCGACCAGAACTAAAAATCCACGTTGTGAGATTGTAGAGCTTCAAAAACGGGCCATTCTATTATATTTGTGCATCTAAATGGGGAGGGGCCGGTTTTGATAATCTAGGTTCCGATTTGGGGGATTTCAGGAAGCATTTTTACAGGTGCAAAAACCTGTATTGTTTTATCCTTGCCTCCATGGGCGCCGCCATCTTGTTTCCTGTGAACTAAAAGTAAAATAAGGTTAAAGTGGAATCATGATGGAGGTAGACTTGGGGATCGAGACGGTGTACGGCAGCGATGACACGTCGACCGGGGTCATGTCGGAGAAGGTTTCGGCGCTGGCCAGCAGTGTGTATCAGGAGTTCGAGAGGATGATCAAGAAGTACGACGAAGATGTGGTCAAGGAACTCATGCCTCTGGTGGTCAATGTCCTAGAGAACTTGGACATCGTTACCCACGATAATCAGGTAAGCAGAAATATTACTGTTTTATTTAATACGTCACCTCATAGGAGTGAAGTACTAGTAAATAAATTGTTGGCCTGTGTGTTTCGGCAATCAGCGTGCAAAATACCTGGTTGCCCCGAACAACCAAATTTTACTTGAGGCAACCTATTTTTGAACCTAGGTAGCCCGGTGTGCTACCTGAATTTGAAGACCCCCCCCC